GCAACAAACATTTATTTCTCACAGTTCTGGAGACTACACGTTTAAGATCATGGTGTCAGCATGGTGTTGTTCCCTTGAGGGAAGCAGACTGCCACCTTCCTGCTGTGTCCTCACATGGAAGTGGGTAGGAACCTCTGTGCGTTCTCTTTTATAAGAGAACCAATCCCACTCATGAGGGCTTCACCCTCATGACCTAAGTACTTCCCAAAGACCCCACCTCCTACTACTCTGAATTTGGAGGTCAGGATTTCAACAAATGAATTTGGGGGGGACACAAACATTCAGATCATAACTGAGGGTCTATTTTCATCTATCATCCCCTTGACTGTGGCCAGGACCTGTGACTTATTTCTAACAATAGAAGATGACAAAAGTTATGGAGTATTACCCCCCACCCCATCACCTTACATTATACATGTCTCCCTTAAAAACAGGCTGGAGTAAGAGGTCTTCTTGCAGGCTTAATGACATAAATGGTCATGCTGAAGAATCCCATGTGACAGGTAAGTGTAGGTGGCTTTGAGTGCCTCAGGGTAATCTCTAGCCAATAGTCAGTAGAAGTCCAAGTTTTTTATTCCCACTACTGCAAGGAACAGATTTCTACCAACAACATGAATGAGCTAGAATTAGATTCTTCCCCAGTTGAGCTTCCAGGTGAAAATGCAACCTGGACAGGACATGGATTGTAGTCTTGTGAGACCCTGAGCAAGAGACTCAATTAGCTGTGTCTGCATTGCTGAACCATGGGAACTGCGAAATAATAAATGTCTGTTGTTTTAAGCAAGTAGTTTATGGCGATTTTTAAACACACAGTAGAAACTACTAAATGTCTCTCTTTTTTATTATTTTCTTGTTTTTTTATTAGCACTCTGGGAGGAAGCTGAGGTGAATATGTGTGTAATCAGCGCATTAGAAAGCATGGCATGTTTTATGTGATCAAACACATGTTTTTGTTGTCTGTCATCATTCTTATAAAATTTATTCAGTGTGAAGAGCCAGATCTATTCTAGCTATGTGAAAAACATGCTCATGTAATAGCAGTATTTTGGTCACTTTAAATACTAATGTTCTCAGGTTGATAATTAGGATGCCCAGTCTCATGTAAAAATAATTTAACATTAAATTATTCTTCTCCCCCACTGAGTCCTGCTTTGGGTTGGCTGCTCACAATATCACATCTTCCCTTGCAGGCAGACATTTTTGCTTAGCTTTCTCCTGCCTCTTCTGTTCCATCTTGGTAACTGAGCTATTAACCTCCCTAACTCCAAATCCAAGGAAGGGAGGTTTGTCTTATGAAATGTAGTCACCTTCATATGGTGCCGGGGCTCTCTGGATAATAACTGGATAACAAAGGAGGGTTCGTTCAAGAACGTTTAAGAAATTTTTGTATCCCTGATCCGTCTCACCTGCAATTCCTTTAACCCATGCAAATTCATCTGTATTCTAGGTGGTCACTGGTGACTCCTTCCTTATCCCCTAATCTCATTTCACCTAGAACTTCTTGCTGCTAAGATCTTTTCATTACTTTGGATGGGCTTATTACGCAGTACCCAGAACAGCCCCATATTGACTCTCTCTTGCTTGTCTCCTCATGGTCCATGGAAAGCACACACTTTTGCCCTAACAAACTCTAAGTATGTAGGAAGGTCTCAGCACAGAGCCCCTTCAGGGCTCCACCTCTAGATGTGCGGCCACAGTTCCAGGCAAGAATCAGACCCCCATCAGCCATGTACCCTAATGGTTCTGGTCCAATAGAAGGCTGAGGCATCTTCTCTTATTAGGAGTGAGGTCAGGGGGCAAGCATCCCTCCTTATCTCACCTTTGGGGTAGATGGAGTGAGGAGACTCACAAAGAAGCTTTCTGCAAGGAAATTCTCATAAAGTTCTCTTTTGTCATGTATATCTTTGTGAAATATGGAACCCACTGGTCCCTGTTTAATTCCTTTGAACACTTTACTTTGGCAATTCATGTGTGCTACTTTCTAGTGCCTCATATAACCTTACATTCTAATTTGCTGTTTGCACACCTAATTCCATCCACCACCATGAACTAGAAGTTCCCTTGCTCTCTTTATTTGCATATTATGAAGGCTGTTCATGTCAGGAGGTTATCAGACACTATTGTTTCTATAACAACCCATTCAGAAATATGTTTTATGTCCTACTTGAACATGTCTGCTAATGTTCGATATTTTCATGGAATTGAATCCAGGTCACTGCCCTGAGTAGGACATGCTATGACAGAGAGCGTGGCCTGATTAACAAATGGTTGGCACAAATCCACATGCTCTACCCCCTTCCTCATGTATGAGCATCATGACAGTACATCTACATCTCTCTCTCTTATCAGTGGAAAGGTGAAAGTATGTGGGGCAGGGAGTGTCCAGCCTCCATTGGCTTTCTCTTTACTAACAGCTGGCACTCGCGTGTGACTTCTCTAGCCTAACTGTTGACTGTGGGCTCATCCAGATGAAGAGACTGAAAGGGGGCTACTCAGAACCATTCTGATGCCATGAGAACTGGGAGCTTTAGAAACATCTGGGCTCAGTATTCTTGGTAGGGGCCTTGGCATTTCCATGATAGATAGGCATGGGAGTGAAAATTCACCAAGATCAGTCAGTAAACAGCAACTGTGGATGTATGAGAGCAAGAGAGGGAGGCCAGGGCGAAGAGGCCCAGTCAGGGTTGTCACAAACGACTATGCAGATTATGGCATGGACTACTTTAGGTGGCACCTCTTACTGTGCGGAGTGTAAGAATAGAACCCTCTTGAGTGCACAGCCCTAGTGACCATATGCAGTAGCCCTGGAAAACTGTGGTCACTGTCCCTGTGAGGTTGTCCTTCACCATTCCCTAGGGGACTCCAAGAAATAACTGAGAGGACATGTTGAAAAACCCTAATTTCAATTAAAAAAACAAACAAACAAACAGGCAAGCATGCATTCTAGCTACTTGTTATGAACTGAATTGTGTCTCTGCAAAACTGATATGTTGAAACCCTAAGCTCCAATGTGACTGTATTTGGAGAGCGAGTGTTGTTAGGGAGATAATTAAGGTTAAATGAGGTCATAAGGGTGAGGCCCTAATCTTATAGAATTGGTGTTCTTGTAAGAAGAGAAAGAGACACCAGGAAGCTCTATCAGAGGAGAGGCCATGTTAGGACACCTGAGACTGGATGAGCTGTCTGACAGAAAACTACCCTAACAGCACCTTGATCTTGGACTTCTAACTTCCAGAATTGTGATAAGATGAATTTCTGTTTAAACTGCGCAGCCTGCGGTGTCCTGTTACGGCAGTCCAAGGTGACAAATATACTGCTATAGAGAGCCTTTAAAAGTGGACATGACTTCACAGGCTGCTGAGATTTAGGACATCAGGACTGCATGTAAGAAGAGTGACTAGGTGATGCCTGAGATCCCTTACAGACCAGAGCATCCAGGATTCTGATTACAATTAAATAAACAAATAAACAATGCCATTTCCTTCTAGCCTGACTTAATTACCCTCTTCTTATTGTAATTTCACTTCTGTAGCTATTATCCCAGCACAGCCACTTCCCTCCATCTTGCCCTCCTCACATTATGAAACCTCTCTGTGCTTAGTTTCTGCAGCTGTAAAATAATATCCCTCACCACACAAGCTGACAATTTTTTCAAAAGAAAATATATATAAAAAATGAATAGTCCCTGGCACATACTGAGCGTTCTATAAATGTAGGTTCATCTTCTTTGACTTCTTACCATTATCATCATCACCATGACAACACCACCACCACCACCACCACCACCATCATCATCATCATCATCATCATCATCACAATTATTGCTGAGAGAAATCAGCTCTTGCCTTAAAAACTACCAGTGCAGATCTTTAGGAGACTCTGGAAGCAAGGAGAAATCAAAGGCTTTGGCTGTTCTGGGCACAGTATTTGGGGCTGATACTCAGGGGGACCAAAAGAGATGGAAGTATGGAAGTCAAATGTCCCTTTGCACAGTGTCTAGTTGCCTGCTCCTCTGTATCACATCTGAAAGTGGCACTGACTATGCATGTAAATGACTTCCAGAGAGAACCTACCATGTATTATGAAAGAAATCCAGGACGTTTTAGGGCATCTCCCTGGAAGGTGACAACGAAACTCTCCCTCACTTTGCCACTTACACAGAGAGAATTCTGGGTGTAATGAATCCTATGTATAACTTCCTAAAGCTTTCTTAGGATTTCAGCTAATTTTCAAGGCTACTATAGGGCTGTAGAAATGGTCTAGGAACCAAAAGCCCTAAAAGTCCCCAGAAGCCTGTTATTGGCTTTGTACTCTTTGGCAAGTCCCTCCACCTGTCCAAGCCCCCAGCCCCTCCTCTCTGCACTAGGTCTGCGGGTATCCCTCTCTTCACTGGACTGGGGACCAGACGAAACTGCCTTGTAAACTCAAAAACACTACATTAGATATGAAATGAAGTTTTCCCTTTATCTCTAATTAACTTTAGAAGTTAAGTAACTAAACCTAAAAAGCAAAACTAAGCATAAGATCCAACTGGAAAACTGGGGAGGCAAATGACTTTTTCTTAGAAAATTTACACCAATGACTTTTTGATAAGGAAGTGAACAGGGTCCCTCAATTTATCTAAGGCAATTTCATGAAATTTTCTTACTCTTATTCAGATGATTGAAAATGCCATGTGAATAATGCCATTTTATGAAAAAGGAGACCATAGTTTGCGGCAGCGAGAGGCTGGTACAACTGACATAATTTCTGATGAAACCTATTCTTCTACATTTATATAGCAATCCTTTGAATCAAACCACATGAAAATCTACTTTTTCCATTTAACTGAAGATAAAGAGGGCAGAGATGAAGCCATCAAAAACTCCTTCTTTTATTCCCAGACTTTTAAATCAGAAAAGTCCATCTAATATTGCACTAATTTCTTCACTGACATTTATCTCTAAATGTCAACTTGCTCCAGAAAAGTTTTTTTCTTGATTTTATGGTGCCCAGCCTTATTAAGTGGATAAAAACTGAGTTAGCCTGATGTCATTTGAGGACTGTCCACTATGAGAAAATGCATTGGCACCTAAGAGAAGGAAAAGAAGGTTAGAATTCTGGCTACTACATTAGAATCAAGCATGAGACCAAAATGAAAATAAGCATATGCAATTCCTTAAAATTCTGGACAGTTTTAGGAAGACAGTAGAGAGAGATCTAGAATGTAGCTGGTCAACAGGAACAGCAGTTCATTAATGTCACAGAAACTTGCATTTGTCAGACAACTCTCATTCAAGAAGATAAGCACCAATTTTTCAGATATTGCTGGGAAATGAGATAAAGTAGATTTGAGATCATAGAACATTATTGCTGGAAGGAACTTTAGTGATCTCTTAGTTTTGTTTTGGGTTTCATTTTTTGGGGTTTTTTTTTTTTCATTTTACATACAAAGAACAACATCCAAAAAGGTAAAGAGGTTTGTAAAAAGCATTCAGGCTGGTTGGTAGCAGTGATAACAGGACCTGAGGCTTGTGGATGAGCACATTGAACATTTTGAGAGGGAAGTGTTTTTTCAAGTTCAGCCCCTTGATCTTTATCTGGAAATCAAATAATTTTGATTGGAATCTAAAATGAGTTGCCTGTTTCCCTACCTTAATAAGATATTAGTGTAGTTTAACGTGAAGTGGACCTCTTAAGTATGACTTCCATTTAACTTGTAATGCCATGTGTCTTCCTCAGCCTCCGTGCTGCATGCACCCTTCTGCTCAGGTGATGCAGCAACTATTTACAATGCTTACAAATCAGTCTTCTGATGGTTGAATATCATTGACGTGAGCAACAGCCAATATATGAGCATAGGAGCAAAGCATGTCACAGGCAGAAGGGACGTGCTCTCTCCCCCATAGCAGATGGTCGCTCCTCCTTTTTCAGAAACACTTTAGGGGAAGGATACACCCAACACTAGGGCACAAGCACCTGGCCCATGCCCACTGCTCAGCAGCTGGCGCAAAAGGAGTGACTCTCTAATAAGGACACTGTGATGTTGCTCTAACCACACTCCTTCACCCCATGGCCTCATTGATCAATGTCACAGATTTATACACTATCTAGTTGAGAAAATGCTAGTAATTTGTGATAAAATTAAAAGTGATACTCGCTGATCTCCATGAGTATCAAGTCCCAACATTATTGTGTCATCCTTGAGCACCATTCAGATGAACTCCAGACACAGCCAGCAGATACTCTCACACTTATCACATGAATATTTTAAAAGTTGCCATTGAGTTTTCCTTATATGACATATTCATGGTCTCTCTTCCTACCTTTTATATCCTTTGGTTTATTGCGACTCACCTTTGTGTTGCAATGGGTTGAAAGACTTGGGTTTAGCACATAATTCTGATGAGTTTTGCTGCACAAAAGAAAAACAAGTCATTTGGACATTAATAGTATCCTTTTGGTGATCGTGTACATTTTCTGACTTCTTGATGTCATAACAATCCTTTATTCTATCTACATAGTGTGCTATTCTCCATTCAAGAAATTAGAGTACTCACTTTTTTATTCTTTCTTCTGCTTTAATCAATTTAAAATGTCTAAGAACTTATTCACTTAGAAATAAGTTCTTGTGTTCCTGTGTATTCTTACAACATCTAACAACCAACTGGAAAAAAAAAACAGATGTAAAGGAGGTATTATCCTTTTTCTTGCCTATCTTACATTTCTTGCTTCACACATTTATCACTGGAAGAACCTATGGAGGAAAAATAATACTTCTAGTAAAAATGGTCTTCACTAAAGCTTTGCTTTATTCTGCTCCCTCTTAATACTCAAATCTCATTGTGAATAATCTTTTTGTCATTGGTGCAGAGTCTAAACAGAATTTAAAATTTTGAAAATTTAGTTATCAAAATAAAATATAATATTTAAAATAAACAGCATGCACTTACTTGGGAAAGGTAAAAGTGTTAACTTTTCTGTCTTTTTCTCTTTCATTAATTAATTTATTATTTAATTTAACATCTCTTACTGAATGCTGTTTTGTACCAGACATTATTTTAGACACCACAAATATTTAAAGGAATAAGCTTCATTTCTTGCTACAGTTCATGTCACAAGGAAGCTAAATCAAGATAGGAAAAATAGGTTCTTATGTTATGCAGTAGATGGCCCAGTGATAGTCTCCTGATTTTCACTGAAATATAAAAGTGGTTAACCCAAATAAAGCTCTGAAAAAAAAATTATCAAAGAGCCAGGATGAGAAATGCCTGAAAAAGTTCTAAAGCAAAGAATTGATTTTCTAGAATTCAGAGTTCATAAACATACACTACTATAACCCTAAAGAAAAATTCTAAGGTCATGATCATTGCCATTTAAACTACATCTTGCCCCATTTGGAGAAAAGAGTCTTAGATTGCAACACACTCAAGGACTCTACATGGTCTGGAAAAAGCAGCCTCTTAGGCATGTACGGTTATGTGCATTTAAGCTGTTGCTTGAAAGCAGGACCTGAGTCATTGGAAATAAGACTAAATAAACCCTTCTTTGTGGAGAGGGAATCTGTAGAGGTCACTAGAGTCTGCCCCTTGGTTCAGAATTGTAGAGAATGTGGGTAGGGACAATGGAAGGCCAAGGAGAGGCCTTAAGCCCTCAGCAGGGAGAGGGTTTTGAGGGAAACTTCATCATGTGTCCTCACAGAGTTATGTTGGTTTGAGGGCTGATATTTGCTGAGAACATTGTTGGCTTCTGCCTTCATTCCCTTCAGCCAATTATCCAAATGTTCACTGCTGTTTTCAGGATACCTGCTTCACTACCCCTTTGCCCATTGCTCAGTGGATGGCTTTGTCTCCTACTTAAAAAAAAAAAAAAAAGTATCCAGGTCTGAATAGTCCCACATCATGTGCTCAATCTGCGCATGTTGCTCTGCCTGCACTAGTCTGAAAGTCCCTGTGTCCAGGGAAGAGGCTGATTCCTCCACCTGCAGTCAAGCCATTCAACTGCACTTTCCAAGACTCTCTGCCATCAATTATCCTTCTCTCATTTGTTTTCAGACTTTCTCTTTGCTGGTTCCTCTCTCCCAGCATGTGAACTTACGCACTTCCTGGCAACTCAGCTCTACTCTGTCACTCCTGGTCCTGTGTCTGCATCTGGTTACCACCCTCTCTCTCTCTTCTCTCACAAGAGAGAATCTGGACAGGAGCGTTCATTCCCCAGTGCTCGTTCTTCTACTTCTCATCATTCCTCAACCACTGTAATCTGGGTTCCTGCTTCTTCATTCAGACTGCCTCAGGAAATTCCAAATACTCATCTTTTCTTGCCAAATGTATTTTTGTTTTAATGCAAAAGAGCCACCTAACCAGCCAACAAAAAGCCATTTTTATCATCTGGTTTGAAAACACACTTGGAGACGGGGGACACATCCAGAAGATGAAGACCCCTCACGGACTACTGTGGCCTTCTTGAAAAGTGTAAACACTACATTAGAAATGGGGACAAAAGACATTGTCATGCCTCTTTGCTTTTGATTTATTTACTTTTGGGTGTTTTTCTCTCCTTGGTTTTCAAATGAGAAAAATTCTGACACTCTGCTTTGTAGGGTAAAGAGTGTCCTGTCTCACTTTATTCAGTAAGGTTTTTCTTTAATGCAGTCACATGTGCTGGGGCTCCCTCCTTTTCTTAAGAGTAGTGCACTATTCATTAGTTTCATATTTTCTGGTTCAAGGGATTTTAGTCCTTCAAGACATAAACTCAAAATTACAGAATGTTAGAACTTCTGCTTTGAGTAACTAGTCCAAAACTTCATTTGCACAGTTGAGAAAATTGAAACCAAAAGGAACTAAGTGACTTTCCTAAGATCACACTGCCAGTTGGTTACTGAGTCAGAAATACAAGGCACACCATCTGAAGTCTAGTCTCCATCTGCTACCATATATATGAGCCCCCTTAGGGGGGTGAGCACACAATGCAATACACAGATGATGTATTATACAATTGTACACTTGAAACCTATATAATGTTATTAACCTAATATTTTTAATTTAACAATAATAATAATAAAAATAAAACGGGGGGAAAGAAATACAGGGCACGTCTGCTGGCTCAGGGGCTACTGATCACTAATTTAGAGCCGTGTTTTCTATCTCCTATGAAATGCACACTCAGGAAAATTTTTTAATATCAGGGGTTCATTTTCTCCCTGTTTTTTATTTCAAAAGGTTATATTGTCCCTTGTAAAAATCTCTAAACATCCATGTACGTTTTCATGCACTTAAGTCAGTAGACTTTTATCAAACACAGAAACCCTTACTTGAGAAAATTTTCTGAAAGTCCCTCATTGTTTTGCTGAAAGAGAAAAGTCTAAATTGACATCAAAAATACAAACTATGGGTGCAAATACTTTCATTTCTAACTATACTCTTCTTATGTGAATTGCACTTTTGTGGAGAAGAATGAAACAGGATTCCTGTTTCCATACAAATGGCTGCTTGCAACCTTAAAAGCTAAAACTGCATGAGACAAGTCAGTTATACCAGCTTGAGTGAGAAAATTCAGAGACTGTGTTTTGTATATTGGCAGTTTTCTGACAAAGGAAAAACCGTCTATAGAAGAGCAAAAAGTCAAGCAGAGGAAACGGACTTACCTACTCTAGCTGTTGGGTGATAAGTCAGACTAAAGCAAATGATATTGTTCAAAAGTATTTGCTCACAATAGCACCCACAGACTTGGGTGCCTGAGTGTCCTTGAAGCTTTCCATGCCTTCTCATTCATTCATTCATTCACTCATTCACTCATTGATTCATTCATTTACCTCTCCCTCACTCAACTCTTTACTGAGTATTCACCATGTGCTGGGCACCGTGACAGGTAGCCAGAATATCATGGTGACAGAAACTGAAGGGATTTACACAAAAGTGGTCTTTCTGTGGAGCTGTATAAAAATAAAAATGGAAAACTAGAACTTCATGCTTTGGATGCATAGAAGTGTGAGATAATTACCTTTGATGGTTGTTTCAAAGAGCTTAAAGGAGACAACTTGTTGAAGAGCAGTTGCCGCAGCTGTAAAGGCAACAAAGAAATACTGAGATACACATAGTCAATCATTCACAGGCAAATACAGAGTAAAAGTGCAGACTGAAACTGTTATTTAACAGTTGTAGTTCCTGGAAGTTGATAGAATGTAAGTATAGGTATCTGATGAAAGGATTTCTTCTTTTATTTCTTTTCTGTACCTACAAACAAATCTAGAATTAAATGAAAAACAGCAGTATCAAAAGCCTTAATAATTCAGATTCTAAACATTAGTAATTGGCAAAAGTTGCTAAATTGAAGATTATCTTTGAAGTGAAGAGTTTCCTAACCATGTGATTTGTACAAATGAGAGAATTATTTAGGCCAATCAAGAACAGAAAATTGCTTCTTTGTAATCAGGGGTTTTGTGTTTGTTCAACAATTGTGTTAATTATAAAATATTCTTGTGTTCTTATTTTTTTTAAAGCCTATATTTATTAGCTTATTGCCTTTACCTCTCTCAACAGCACTGCTCAATGCTTGGGAAAAAATAATAAAATGAGTTTATTTAATTTTTTTCTATTATCTTTTACTTAACATCATTGATTCTTTTTAGGAATTTAACTGTAGAAGCTATTTACTATATAAAACTACAGAACTATAGAAGTAGATATGTCTTTTGGTATATTCTAAGTAAATGGATAAATTAAAGAAATAAAAAGCAATTCACCCATAAGGAAAGTACTTTTGCTCTTTAGTTATTGCCAAACCATAACATAAGGTAGAAAAATTAAAAGTAAAAACACTTTTCACTTTCTTTCTCTAACGTCACATTATAGGTTGTGATTAGTTCCACATAGTTTACCAGCAGTGAGTGTTTAGTTCCTTTGTCTCTTAGCCTCTTCTATATGAAAAAAGGTCTCAGAACTGAACAGGAAGGGTTAGGTGCCTGGTTTGGGGGCAAAAGAGAGAAATGAATCACATACCTTACTATCCAAAAGCATTCCAAAGCATAAGATGAAAAAACCCTTAAGAAAGAAAGAAATCACATATTTTATCTTTTCCAGAAAAGAAAGCATTTGTAGGTAATACTATTCTGTTCTATCACCCAACATTGGAGTTGTTTTCTTGTCATCTCCCTACTGGACTGTGGGTTCCTTGAAGGCAAGGGTACCACATGACCTCTGCGATACCTGACGTTACACAAAGTACTCAAAAATGTTTTCATTGAATGCATCAATAAATTACTGAGTCAATAATGTTTTACATGCATGTAGGACTTCATTTTTCCCTTTGTGTCATCCTAAACCCCAAACAAATAAATTCCATTTGCTTCTATCTCTCAGCCTTTCTTTAGGACAGGCCTTAAATGAACATTTACTAAAGCGTCTGTGATAGTGGAGGCACTGGGGTCCAACCCTAAGGCCAAGTGGAGGGAGTTGACCTCTATCGACACCCTTTCCAGCCCTTGGGGAACCCTTGGCAGAGGCTTTCTGGGACATTGAAATCCCAGTCAGAGCACCCTCAGTCGGTACCTGTTCAGGGTATCACCATGTGTTTGCCCACAACAGAAGCTCCCTAAACCTGTCACCATTAGGTGCGTGCTGTCTGTAGATGCCATCTGTGTCACCACACGAACATTCCCTGGTATGCTGGTGTGGGTGAAGAACCAGGTACTTTTAGGAGACAACTATTGAGCACTTACTATATGTCAGGCACTGTGATAAATGCTAAATTATCTTATTTAATTCTTATATTTACTCTGATATGAATAATAGTATTATCCCTGTCTAACAGATGAGAGATTAAGTAGTTTGTTAAAGGTCACACAGTTAATAATGTGACATATTCGAGCCCAGGTCTATTTAAGTCCTGAGCTCAAAGGTTTCACTACCAGTCAGTCCCCTGCGTCATTGTGCAGAGGTGACCCAGCAAACCGTCACTGACCCTACTCTCCAAACGTTCTCTGACTGTGGCACATAAAACCCATTCTTTGCCGCAGGGTTGGAAAACTTTTCTGTAAAAGGCCAGGTAGTAAATATTTAGGTTTTAAAGGTCACCCAGTCTCTGTTGCAACTGCTCTACTCTGTTGGTGTAAGGAAAGCAGCCACAGAGCACATGTAAACAAGTGGGTGTGGCTCTGCTCCAATAAAACTTTATTTACAAAAACAGCACTGGTTGCAGTCTACCAGCTTCTGCTCCGTTGCACTCTGGGGATTACATTTGCACCATTCAGAGTCAACAAGTCCTCTTGACTTCTTTCTCTTTCCCTGTGTGCTTTTACAGAAGTCTGCTCTAGAGAAGAAGGGCTGAGTCAGCAGCAAGAGAGATTAACATTAACTATGTGAAGACTAGCAGATTTAAAACCTTGGAATGGATTACCAAAGAAGGCTAATATTCTGCTTCCCTATGAGAATAATCGTTGGGAAAATGGACCTGATTTTTTTTTTCTATTCACTGTCACCAGGCAGTTTTGGTTACAGTCCCACTGGAGGCAGGGAGATAAGATAGCCTCTAGAGTTGTCTTACCAACCTCAGTTCTCTATAATTATTCCGGTTACCTGATGGTATGATAATAGGTTATTCTTACTGTCCTCACCTGGAATGCATTGAGCAATGCAAAAATAACATGCCACACCAGATTCTGGCTGTCCACCATTACTGCTATGCCAAAGCCCCAGGTGAGCCCCAGCAGAGGGGTCAGAGTAAGGAGGCTCTTCCCCATGCGGACGATAGTGGCCCTGTCCTGACTCAGTCTTTCTCCAACAGCGGGCCTCCAGAGCTTTGTGAGAACTAAGACCACCACAGCCGAGTTCACAGCCACAATAGTCAAGGCAGGAACAGCAAGGGCCAAGAGGGGTTTGCTCCCACTGGACCAGTTGAGCCAACACACGTCTTTCCTTTTGTAGCCATTGCTAGGTTGTGTGACCGCAATGGTGATGACAGATATAATGAGAGGACATCCATAGCCCAGGCCAAACCCGATAGCCATCATCAACGGCATGGCCATGTGATGGAATACAAGGACAATCCGATAAGCCAGCAGGATGCCGAGCATGAGCATCCAAAAGAACAGGGAGAGGTAGAAAAAGTGTGTCAAGAACACAGCAGCTATGCAGACTCCAGAAGGGTTTACCGTGGTATCCACAGTGGCAGCAACAATAAACCAAACATCAGCTATCAGGAGGCACAGGGCTATGTTCACCATGCAAATATGACGTGTGTGCGAGGTTTGGTTTTTCTTGACCTCCTTCCAAAACAGAGCCTCAATGATCAGGCATAAGGTGAGGCTTCCAATGGAGACTCCCAGTCCCAAAAAGGTGATCCATTTCACAACCGCAATGATGGCAGGGGGGACAAAAGGTGACATTAGCATGGAAAATGAGGTCAGGTGAGTACACCGGCACATCACCGTATCTGGTGTTTCATTCACTAGGTGGCAGCCTGCATCGTTCCACTGCAAATGACGGAAATCCCAAAACACACAGTGAGGCTGGCTCAGGTTTGACTCTATCTTAGAAAAACTCAGGAAAACTTCATTTATGGAATAGTTTTGGATAACTGTGGAGATCACAGGCCCATTGACATGGGCATTTCCAGTTTTGGTAATGGGTAGAATGTTCCCCAGGGTCAGGGAGGCCATGCTGATAATAGTTTCTGGAAGGGACCCCTGGAATTGGTCTGACCCAATTAACACATGGCCTCTGATGGGAATGGATGTATTTTGGGGGAACATTTCCGTCTGATAGTTGTAACCTGTCTTATGTAGGCTTTTGGACACTGGAATCCCTTTCCAGTTAATGAATTCCCGAGAAAAATTCAGAGGCAGAGCTGTAGGAGGTACCAGAACGCTGATATTTTCCAATGTCTCTAGTAACCGTGAGCTGGCGTGCTGTTCTTCCTGCAGTAATACTGTCCAGTTGGTTACTGATGTTGAATTAAGGACATGGTCAGCTATGCTGATGACATCCTGAAATGCAAAGATGAGAGTCAGTTTGCATTTTGAATAAATAGATAAGAAGACTAACAGTAGATAGTCATTAGTACTAAATATAGGAAAATTATCCTGAGAATTGGCTCTGCTGAAGATCACATTAAAACTCATCATTGAAATTCAGCCCAGTTGCTCTGTTCAGTGGGAGCTTTGGATTAAGAAACTTGAGTTCATGCTTACATGCAGGACTATGTACGTTCCCGGGTGATCACCCCAGGGTGTTCACGTGCACACTGGGGTTTGAGCACGGAGGAGAAAGAATCCTGCGACTGGGCTGCAGTAGCGCGCATTTCCTTCTCCTGCGATGGCAAACATGGCTGCATTACTCCTCCTCAGCCCAAAGACTGCAATATTACTGCTTTTAGCTTTCCCCTGTTAGGCTTGTTTTGCTAATGTCAGGAGTCCTAAATTCACATCATGGATGTTCAAGTTTTAATTCATGTATATTTATTATTTTTGTTTAATAGAGAATATAAAGTAAAAATCCTTAAAAAACCTGAGGCAAGCAACAAGGCAGTTTTGAATTGTTGCCTGTTTTAAGGGTCAGTCTTAGTCTGAGAGATTCCTTTTCTGAACCCATGTTTGCAAACAATCCCTTTGTCCCCCCTAGTCCGCTGTCTTTCTTAGGAATCTGGTACCCAGGTATTCTGCTGCAAGCGTCTGTCACTTTGGCCTCACATTACACTAATCAAGCCTTCCGTGGCTTCTGGCCCAGAATCCCATAGCTCATTTCTTCCACTGCCTTCAGGAACCTCTGCCTTCTTTTGGTTTGTGTCCGCCTGCTTCATTTTGCTTTTTAATTAACTCTTAGCCTTTTTATGTCATTTTGTTTTAGATGGTTTCGTGCAAACAACACATGGTTGAACTCTTTTAAAAATAATCTGAGCATGTTTTCTTTGATTCAGGGAGTTTAACTGATAATATTTAATGTCATCGCTGACATACAATTCAATTTGCCAAAATATTATGTACTATTTAGAAAGGGGAAGGGAGGAAGAAAGAGAGGGAGAGAAACATCAATGTGAGAGAGAAACATTGATCTGTTGCCTCATATACGTAACCTGACTGGGGACTGAACCCACAACCTAAGCATGTGCCCTGACTGGGAATCGAACATGCAAACTTTCATTTTGTGGGACAATGCCCAACCAACTAAGCCACAATGGTCAGGGCAAAATATTATACTTTAACATAAAATGCATACACCCAAAATGTTTCAAACATTTTTAAATAAATGTTTGTTGAGTACCTGCTGCATGTCATTTGTCATTCTTCTAGGCACTGAAGGAATATTTAAAACACAAGCAGTGTCTATTCTAGACCGACCAGATTACAGATTTTTTTCTTTTCACTTATTTGCATTTCTTTTAGTGACCAAGTTTTATTTTTGTAATTTTAAGCTAACTTTAAAAAATTCAAACCCAAGTATAAATTTCCCAGTCAAAAAACAAAAGGAAATCTTAAAATATACGTAACTGAAGTCAGAGTTTGTGGCCAAACTTTGCAGACTGCAAACAGATATTAAAAAGTTGGCACCTGTGTCACACAGTGTCATCGGGTGCAGAGGCTCATCCCTCTCTCTAAGCCAGGTGCCACCCAGCCGACCTGCCTAGAGGATGCTCCCTGTTACTCTGAACGTACAGGATAGATCTTGTGAGTTCCTTGTGCAAGCGGAGGATGCAGTAAAAAAATCACACAAAGACTGTTACATGGCTCTTCAGTCTTTTTCAACAGTTTCTCCCCAACACAGGCTTTTGTCATTCCTCTCACGAGGCAGAGCATTAAAGTGGGCCCTTCAAAACCCTTGTGCACTGTTGGCAGGATTGCAAATTGGTGTAGCCATAGGAAAGCAGTGGAAAGCTGTATGGAAGTTCCTCAAAAAAATTAACAGTAGAACTACCATATGACCCAGCAATCCCACTTCAGAGTATATATCGGAAGAAATCCAAAACACTAATTCAAAAGACATATGCATCCTTACATTCACTACAGCATCATTTACAACAGTCAAGCTATGGAAGCAACATAAGCATCCATAAAGAGACTGTTGGATAAAGAAGATGTGGTACATATATAAAATGGAATATTACTTGGCCATAAAAAAAGACTGAAATATTACCATTTGCAAGAACATGGATGGACTTAGAAGGTATTTAGCTAAGTGAAATAAGCCAGGGAAAGACAAATACCATGTGATTTCACTTATTTGTGGAATCTGAAAAACAATATAAATTCACAAACAAAACAGAAATAAACTCATAGATACAGGGAACAAACTGATGGTTGCCAGATGGGAGGGGTTTGGGGAGCTGAGTGAAAAAGGTAAAGGGATTAACAAGTACAAATTGGCAGTTACAAAGTAGTCACAGGTAAATAAAGTACAGCACAGCGAATATAGTTAATAATATTATAAACACTATATACAGTGTCAGATGGGTACTCGACTTAGCAGTAAAATCACTTTGTAAGTTATAGAAATGTCTAACCACTAGGCTGTACACCTGAAACTAATATAATATTGTCAACTGTAATTAAGTAATTAAAACAAATTTTTAAATAATAATAATATTTATAATAAATAAAGCGGGCCCTTCAAGACAGGCAGACCATACCTCCATTGTTGAATTGGACACCCTGAAATGGCTTGCTAGCGACAGAGATGAGACATTGCCCAGAATCGACACCACCGAAGCCAGATTCCCAGCTGTGTTTGATGGGTTTTGCTGAATGACAGCTGAAAGATTTCGCACCAAGGACGACATGGTCGCCTCAGTGGCATTGCTTGCAATCACACTGAAATTCTACGAATAAAAATAGTTCAGTTTTAAAAAACACATATCTTCATGGTTCATCAAATTCAAGTCAGATTGGCCACATCACTAACCATTTGTATAGTGCATTATAATGTAGAATATTATATAATGATGATAACAACAGTGACTGTTATTCAGTGCTTTCTGTGTTTCAGAGCTGGTACTCTGTGCTACATGCTTTCGCAGGAATTCCTTGACTTCATCCTTACACCACACTTTGAGGGAGGTGCCATTAAGGAAAGTGAAACTTTAAAGGATTTATTTAAAGGCATTTTCATATAAGTTATTGTCCTAATTATATGGAGACATGTTCAGCGAGACTCAGTGACTTTCCAAACAGTACCTAGCTAGGAAGTGGCACTAAATCCTGTTATGTGCACACTACTATGCTGAGAAATCCTTGTAGGATGGGAAGATAGAGGGCTATACGTGGAGATTTGACTTCACTTTGTCACTGGGTTGGGAATTTTACTTCTTCCTTGAAGCTCCCATCTGCTTCCTCCACTCTGGGAGTGCTTGGAAGGCAGTCAAAAAGGGAAATTCCTTTTCAGTCAAAACAAGTCAGTCAAGGAACCCAGATCCTATATGGTTTCCTTTTTGCTCTTCTTGGCTGACAGTGCTGTTCTATGCCCAGGGCACCCGGGATCTGCCTGCCCTCACCCTCACAGCCTCAATAGACATGGTCCATGTCCATAACTGAGGAAGAGAAGGCAAAAACAAGGATGGACCACAGAAGCCATCTGGTCCAGTCTCCCTGCCCAGTTTACAGATGAGGAAACTGAGGTTCAAAGAGGGAGAAGTGAACACTCCACAGTCCTTTAACGAATACCATTGTGAGGTTCTGTACTGCAACAGCAGAGCTTCTGGTTGGGACAGAAGTTCTGCTCAGCATGGAGATCTATTTGCAGAACAGTGCTGTGAACTAGTCTTTTCTACGACTTGGGTTCTAATCCCTCACCATTTGTTCCTATCTATCTCCCTTGTCTTAAGTACTTGAACCTTCCAAAGAGAGCAGCATGTGAAGGTCACAGCACTGGACTGGGAATCAAATGACCATGTTTCTAGTTCAACACTATTGCTATTAGAGGGACCGTTAGCCACTTAGTATTTCATCTCCTAATCTGTAAAAGGAGTGTGATAAAACAGATGACCCTTAAGATCCATTGCAGTTTTATCATTCTATGTTGGCTCACCTTTGGCTGACCCCAACCCCTACCCTGGTTTCTGATATGTGTACGTTCTCACTTGTACTAAGTCTATAACTTTTGACTCATGCCTTCACATAGATCTTTGATTCCCAGGCTTTCTGGACTTCTGAGGCCAGTTTAGTTGCTCCTCTACCATCTATTATAGACTTCTTCAGCATTGATTCCCTCAACTGCAGCACCTCTCCTGACCAAAACCATCAACTCTGACATTTTCTGACCTTCTCAGCTGCCACCTCGACTCTGTTACCCATGCCCACACCCCTTGGGTTTACAGGGTCTAATGTCTCCCTCATTTTCTGAGTGCTTATAAATGAGACTAATTGATGTATTTTATCCTCCATCTAGCCATGCTCAGTGGGAGGTACCCATTGTGAAACTCAAAACCAGGACACGTCTGCAAGGTTGGAATGCTTTACCTTCTTCAGTTCTTCCAGCTGAACAAGCACACAGGTCTCCCTAATGACCTGCCACCCAGAGGGCTGGCACTTGGCTGTGATGTTCCCAGTGTAGCCGCTGCTACAGGGAAGAGTATACTCGTCATTCTTAAACCCAAATCCAAAAGCAATGCTGTTACACTGAACTAGAAAAGAATGAAAACAAAGAGGAAAAATGACTCTGACTATCCTGGCACTCTCTATAAATAGTATAGCTGTACTTTAGAAATCCTATTTCCAGATACAATACCCAGCAAAATTCATGAGTAGGAAAAGCTTATCTTTGATGCCCAGCTTCATTCTTACCAGCAGCCTCTTCTCCGTCTTCATGCCTTACTTTCTCTGAGGCTGGCCCTTCTCCCTCCAGGTGTCTGATCTATGCCAGCAATTTTAGTGGGCTATCAACTAATATGTATTAATACTAAGTGAAAATAAAACAGAGTGTGACACCTCCCAGGAAATATTTTTACTCTTTGAGGGAGTGCTAGAAAACCAGAAAGTCTTCCAAACGTTATGGAACAAAGCAGTAATGATATGGTTAAAAGATGGACAGTTGCTATTTGGGGGTAACATGTCCTACATTGTACCCCTTTAAAAGCTTCTCACATTGTGACCAAGACACTAGTTACTCTTGCAGCTGACCCTTAATAATATAGTCTGCCCATGATTGGGACTGGGTGAAGGAGACCTTGAATGGAAGATCCAAAAGAGCTGTGTTTTTTCATGTGTTTTCACAATGCTGTGTCCCAAGTGCTTAGACACTTTAAATACTTAGTAAATACTTGTAGAATAAGTGCTGTCAAAAGTGGCACAAATTTTGATGAGAGGTTTAAGACTGAATGTAAAGAAGTAAAAAGGAAAAAAAATACCTGAAGAAAGGAAGCAGTGTGTGTGTTTTTGTGTTTCTATGTGAGTGTTAAAGGCGTGGATATATGCATTCTCTCCTTGGTTTCTGGATTGTTACTTAGGAATACTGCCAGTCCCAGAAATATTTCAACATGTATACCAGTAAACTATTGCTGAATCATTTTCAACATAGCCTGCAGTGAAATCAGTCTTCCACAACATCTAAAGTGGAGATGAGATCACTGATTAGCAAGGGTCCGAATTAGTCAGCTGAAATTGAGTTTCATTGTAAACAGCTGCTGATGTCTACTGACAGTCAGTCTTAAAATAACTCTGAATCAGAAACCTCTCCAATATACCTCCTAAAGACAGGAATGAGCTACCAATTAAAGGATTCCCCTAACCTAAGCAGAGGATGGGAATTTATTGTTACCTTTTCCGAATACTCTGAAAGAGTCATCTTCTAGTGGAAACAGCTCCTGAAGGCCTTCCTGAGCCTTCTCAGCCACCTGCTCAATGGCTGACAGCAGCTCAAATGTGCTGCTGGAGCCAACAACTTCATACCCAACAATGATGCTTCCATCTCTATAACGATTTTGTGGAAAGAAAGAGATTCATTCATTTAGTCACTCAGAACCTACTCTGTGTGTGCATGGCATTTGGTCCATAAACATATATCAAACATATTAGGTCCCTGCTTTCATGCAGTTTACATTCTGGTGGAAAAAGCAAGGGAAATAAGAAACAAGTAACCACCGTGTGTACGTATTTTCATAATTATATAATATACACTTTGCATTTTGTTAAGTGTTATGGGAGACAGGCACAGTGATAAGAATAGCAGGTAGATATGGGGCCCTCTTTAAATTAGACCAGTCAGGAAAGGCTTCTCTGTGCAGAGGGTCTTTGCAACTGAGGCCTGAATAATGAGAAGAAAAGGCTAGTGACGCAAAGACCATTGGGGTAGCATGCCAGCACATACTAAGGGTCTGAGGCAGGAAAATGTCTATGAGTTTGAAAAATTTAAAGACTAGATGTCAAGTTGAGATTTGGGATTGTTTCTCAAGGCCAAAAGTTTCAATGTGTGTTTTAAGAACCTCAGGTGAAAATATATTAAGAATTGAATAAATCATTTTAAGTCAGAAAACAAAATAAAGAAAGATAAGTATAACTAATGTTCAATGAGCAAGAGAGTAAGGATAGGAGATAATGTTAGAAAGGTCACCAGGAACCAGATCACAGAGGACCTTAGTGTTTGAATATTATTTTTCATTAAAAGGTTTTATTCTTTATTAAAAGTTAGTGACACAATCAGATTTTTTGTTTAAGATCACTACTCTGGCTGTTGTGTAGAAAATAGACTGAAGGGAGGCAAGGAGGGAAGCAGAAAGACTAATTAGGAAAAAGGAGATGATAGTGAGAACTAGTTGGGTAGCAGTACATGTGGGAGAAGTGGCCAGATTCCTGTTGTATTTGAAGACTGAACCACAGGAATTGCTAATGGAGCAGATTTCAGGTATGGGAAAAAGAAACTAATCAAGGGTGACTGCAAGGAATTGACCAGTTGTAGTCTATTCATACATGGGGTGTTACTGGGCAATAAAAAGGAAGGAAGCACTGGTATTTAAAAAAAAACAAAAATGAATCTCAAACACATTATGCTGAGTGAAAGAAGCCAGACACACAAATGCTACACCCTGGGTGAAATACTACGCTATGTGCAGTTCTAGGAGAGGCAAAAGTAGCCCATGTTGACTGAGATAAGATCAGTGTTTATTTCTGGTAGGGACCGAGGTGGGCATGGAGATTGGCTGGAAGAAGGCAGAAGGGAACTTTGGGGATGATGAAAATGTTTTGTGATGATAGGAGGTAGCTTGTACGAGCATTTGGTAGAGCTTATTATTCTGTATATTTAAGGTTAGAACATATTGCTGAATGTAAATTATACCTCAATAAAAAGTTAAAGGACAGACTTCCAGCCAAGATGGAGGTATAGGTAGATACAGTGTGCCTCTTCACACAACCAAAAGAAGGACAACAACAAATTTAAAAACAAAAAAAAACAACCAGCACTGCCAGAAAATTGAACTGTATGGAAGTCTGACAACCAAGGAGTTAAAGAATAAACATTCATCCAGACCGGTAGAAGGAGCGGAGACGGGCAGCCAGGGTGCAGAGGATGTGTGGCAAGGTGGTAGCTGGAGGACCGGGCAGTCCCACATTTCTGTGCGGATAAACCAAGAGGAACAACAGGGGAGCAAGACAGGCTGCACAACCCAAGTTTCCAGCGTGGGAAAACAAAGCCTCAATATTTTTAACTGTAAAAACCTGCAGGAATTGTGGTGGCAGGAGAAACTCCCAGCCTCACAGGAATGTTCATTGGAGAGACCCGCAGGGTCCTAGAACGTACACAAACCCACCCACCTGGGAATCAGCACCAGAAGGACCCAATTTGCTTGTGGGTAGCGGGGGAAGTGCTGAAATCCTGCAGAGAGCCACGTAAGTGTCATTGTTCTCTCTCAGACCCCTCCCCCACATAAAGCACAACAACGCAATGACATGGGTTGCCCCTCCCTGGCAAATACCTAAAACTCCACCCTTTACAACATAACAGGTATGCTGAGAAAAAGAAATACGGCCCAAAAGAAAGAACAAATCAAAACTCCAAAAAAAGAACTAAGGGATAAAGAGATAGCCACCTATCAGATGCACAATTCAAACCACTGGTAATCAAGAGCTCACAGAAATGGTTGAGTATGGTCACAAGATGGAGGAAAAAGTGAAAGTTATGCAAAGTGAAATAAAGAAAAATAAACAGGAAGCAGCAGTAAAGGGGAAGAAACCAGGACTCAAATCAACAATCTGGAGCAGAAGGAAGAGATAAACATTCCACCAGAACAGAATGAAGAAACAAGAATTCAAAAAAATGAGTAGAGGCTTAGGAACCTCCAGGACAACATAAATGTTCCAACATCTGAATCATAGTGGTTCCAGAAGGAGAAGAGGAAGAGCAAGAAATTGAAAATTAATTTGAAAAAATAATGAAGGAGAAATTCCCTAATCTGGCCAAGGAAATAGACTGTCAGGAAGTCCAGGAAGCTCAGAGAGTCCCAAAAAAGTTGGACCCAGGGAAGCACACACCAAGACACATCATAATTACATTACCCAAGATTAAAGATAAGGAGAGGATCTGAAAAGCAGCAAGAGAAAACGAGAGAGTTACCTACAAAGGAGTTCCCATAAGACTACAAGCTGACTTCTCAAAGGAAACCTTGTAGGCAAGAAGGGGCTGAAAAGAAGTATTCAAAGTCATGGAAGACAAGGACCTACATTCAAGATTACTCTATCCAGCAAAGCTACCATTTAGAATGGAAGTGCAGATAAAGTGCTTCCCAGATAAGGTCAAGTTAAAGGAGTTCATCATCGTCAGGCCCTTATTATATGAAATGTTAAAGGGACTTATCTAAGAAAAAGAAGAAGATCAAAAACTATGAACAGTAAAATGACAGCAAACTCACAACTATCAACAACTGAACCTGAAAAAAAAAACCCAAAAAACCAAACTAGGCAAACAACTATAACGGGAACAGAATTACAGAAATGGTGATCACATGGAGGGAAGAGGAGGGGAGAGAATGGGGGAAAAGGTACAAGAAATAAGAAGCATAATTGGTAGGCACAAAATAGACAGGGGGAGGTTAAGAATAGTATGGGAAATGGAGAAGCCAAAGGACTTATATGTGTGACCCATGAACATGAACTAAGGGGGCAGTGAGGATGCTGGTGGTGGGGTGGGAGGGTATAAAGGAAAGAAAAAAATGAGACAACTGTAATAGCATAATCAATAAAACATACTTAAATAAAAAGTTACAGATTGACCCCAGGCTTTGGGTCTGGGCAACTGGGAAAATGGCAACACTATAAGTGAGATGGGAGAAGTAGGTTTAAGGTTATAAGGGGGCCAGTTGGAGGATCCCCTTTTTTGACACATTATGTTTGACATGCCTACTAGAAAATCAAGTGGAGACAATAATAGGCAGTTGGATATTTGTGTCCAAAGTTTAGGAGAGAGGCCAAGCTTGCATAATACACTTAGAAATGATCAGCTTACAGATGGTGTTTGAAGTCATAAAAGTAAGTGAGATTACATGTATTAATTAAGTTAATTCTGCAATAACTTCATGAGATAAACACCGTGTTATCCCCATTTTGTAGATCTGGAAGCTGAGTCTCAAAGAGAAGTTGAGTCAGGTAATTATTAATTATTAATCGATGGATTAGAATCTCTCACACCCCAAAGCTCAAATCTTAATCACTACATTGAATTACCACTCACAATGTACAAATAGATTCAAATACCCACTTATGTAATGATGGTCATAATAACTCATTAATGTGGCCCTTTTATATTCTTTTTTTTAAGAAAAAATTTTTTAATTGATCTGAGAGAAAGAGAGAGGGAGGGGAAGGAAGAGAGAGAACAGATCAAAACTCAAAAAAAAAAAAAAAAGAAGAACTAAGCAGTAAGTCAATTTGTTGTTTCCACATATTTATGCATTTACTGGTTATTTCTTGTGTGTGCCCTAACCAGGGATCAAACTCAGAACCTTGCCATATCAGAATGATGCTCTAATCAACTGAGCTAGTATTTTCCTGCCTATTATTTCATTTGATTTAATTAGGTTAAATCAGGTTCCACAAGTATAAACAGTCCTGTTCAAGATAAATAAGTTGAGACAATGAGAAATTTAATCATATAGTAAAGAGAAAACCCTACGTAGTTGTATTTTATAGACTTAATGCTTATCTTAACGGTGACTTTGACTGCAAATTGGTGGAGATAACTTATAAGATATATATGATGGAATATATGTTAGAAGTATAAATGGAAAACCAGGATCACAGAAAAGAAAAATATGAATATGGAATATAAAAATTATTGTGATTGAGTTTTAATTTTATCTATGAGTCCAATGACAATAAAGTCAAACAGGAAAATGATTAATTATATAGACCTTGATTTAAGAAAAAAAATGTTTTTCTTAGCATTGGATTTGAAAGAAAATTATACATGTGGGTCTTGATTATAATGACATTATAAGGTCATGAGTAACTAAAGGATCATGTCCAGGACAACATGTTTATAGCAAATGCTGTTGAAAATTTCCCGTGGTTGTTGTTCAAGTTAACTGTGAAAAAAATCATACAAGAAGTCAAGTTCTCTAACTTCTAAGCCACTTTCTCTTTCAAGCAGACTATAAACAGTTGGTAATCAATGCACACATGGTTAACTAACCAAGTAAGTTTGGAATTAAAGTATAAACAAAAGGATGATTTACTAAATATCTCTTTATTTGCTGCAGACAATGACTATGGGGTTTTGAATTATGGTACATACCCGATATCTACATAAAAATACACTATTTTATCCAAAGCCTCCCCCTGGCTCCCAAGTATACATCATACCTGCTGTGGTTATGGAAGAAGAAAACCCATCCCTCCACAACCCTCATCCCCACTCTTCACTCCTTCCCACAAACCAGGATCTCCTGCTTCCTTCCAAGTTCTGCCCCACTACTGGGGGTTTTCTTTTCTATTCTCTTCTCTGATCCATAGCTTTGAGAATGCCATTTAAGTTTCTAAACTCATTTACATGAGAATATAGGCTTTCCTTTTCATACTTTTTAAAGCATCATAGGCTTTTGTCCAGGCTTGGTAAGAATCCTACTACAAAGACCAAGTCTGACCTCTTTTCTGTCAAAGGCACTTGGCAACAGCATGAGGCATTCTACGGGGCTGATGCACAAACCTGGGAATGTCCTTGATTCGGGCATTGTGTTACTTACCGAAACTGAGTGACACGAACTGACTCAAAACCTTGAATTCTTTTGTATGCTTCTTTAAGCTTACAAAAAAAAAAAGGCAATATGTTGATCTTTGTCCCTACACAAGAAAAATATTGGAGCAAAACACGGATGCAAACAATGAATAAGCCAACAGAAACACTGAGCAAAGGAAAAAGATACAGCAGGAGGTAGTTGCACATTATAAAATGACAATTAAGAATGTACGCACATACATAATTTATTTTTAAGGTTGCTAATACAAAATAAAAAATCAACTGCTTAGACTCAAAAATGAATTGAGTGCCAGATAAAATAATACATTCACCCAAAATTTATTTTATCCTCCCCACAAATAAGCCTTTTTTATAGATGCTTAAACGGAATCTATCTGCAAAGTATCTGTGCACGTCTTCGGTTAGACCCACACCTGAATCATCTTCTTAGGCTGATGATGGTTTTATGGTTTTAAAACTGATCTAGTTTTATGTGACTTCATTATGAAGTCCAGAATTTTGCCCAGGAAGTCTCTTTAGCCTCTAACAAGAGAGACTTCTTTATAGAACAAATTCCAGATGCTGACAATTGAGCTTAGATCATGAAAAATTTCTTTTGACTAATATAAAAAGAGAAAATAATCAGGAAGCCTTGGCATGATATTACTCAAGTAAATGAACAAAACCAAATACATAAAAAATGAAAAGGGTTCAACTGCTAAACTTTCCTAGAAAGAAAATGTTCAAAGTACATCAGTTGCGGGCAGAGTGATTAACTACTATGCAATAACCCAATGAAAAGTAATAATTAAGAATATGTATTAAGTAAACATGTTGAATTGAAAACATCTGAACTTACATTTAACTAATAATTTCTCATGGCATAAGTAGAAGGTGCTTACTTGAATTTCGATTGCAGTGGTATATTTGGAGTATACAGCAGAAGATGAATTTAAAAGGTCTTCTGTAAATCTTTCATTAATTTTGAAAGTGCCCCAAACTTCTATGGGAAATAAAAAATATACAGATATAAAAATTACTCCCTTGATTTTATTAGCATAAAATTACAGAAGTACAACTTGGAACCCATTTATTCAACATCAGCCTTTCAATTTATTTTTATAATGAATGTTCACCTAAAGTAATAGAGGAGGTACACAACAAGAATTTTCAGTTGTGGATTTGGAACATTATGGGAAAGTGCTGGTAACCCAGACAACCTTATAATTAGGAAAACGTGTGGCTATCATATGTGATTTTAAAAGGCAGTCCCTTAACTCTGAAATATATCTCCATCTAGGCACTGAGCTTAAACATTGCCCTATTAAAAAATGTTAAAAACAAACCAAAAAATCACTACTTGCTAACTCCAACACACCCCTTGCTCACCTATCACTGGTGCTTTTCTGCAGTCGGACAGATAGTTTCCCATCTTCATGTGGACATAGTTTCTTTAGCCTTCATTCAGGGACTAGTCAAAGCACCTCCTCTCCATGGCCTTCCCTGACCCCAGATACAAAAATCTCTCCCTCCTTTAAACTTCTGCAGTGCTTTATCCATAGTTCCCTTACAGCCTCTTGTACCTACACACCTATTTGTAAACATGTCTCATGGATGTGTGCCTCCACTCTTTGGGAAGCTCCTTATGAGTGCAATTCCTGTTTGCTCCATCTTTGTAGCTCTGGACGATGGATAAGACGTGGACTACCTTTCAAACAGTAGGCTTTCATCAACATTGCTGAAGAAATTACATTATCTTCTTTCTTGTGTTAACACCCTGGCCTTCCCACTCAGCCTGCTAATTCATCGATAGTAAGAAAAATGGTTCATTGTATTCTCCCAGAATTTGCCCAGATCTGGCTATACAGATGATGCTTATAAATACATGTTGCCTTCACCTGAATTGCTGCAGTCCAGGGAAGGGGAGCCAGGGATACCCAGGAAAACTAGGCTATTTCAGGTCCTTCCTCACTCTTTGCTCAGCTCTAACAAAATCCAGAGCTTTAGGGTAACTGGACTAGTTTCTGGAAAACTCCTTCATGTCTGTCAAGGCTTAAGCCTATGTCATTGATCTCACGTCATCATCCACTGAACATAAACCTAAGTCAACGGGAGCTCCCTTAGCTTCCACTGATTCCTAAAGCTAGACTTTTGATTTTTGTTTTGTTTTGGCATTGCATTCTGTACACATATTCATCGGCAATTTAGAGCATTGCCTTCAATATAATCACTATGCATTCCTCCTTGCTTTCATACTGCTAGGCTTCTCTTTTCTGAAAACTGATGTTGACAAAAGTTGAAAAGAAAGTGGAAAGAAAAATTGTATTTACTCAAGCAGTTTTCACTGGGATTTCAGTGAATTTTGTTAAATCTCAAAAGGAGCATAGATATGCAGAGCTGAGCTGGAGGAACTTTGAAGCGGTGCTCAAAGATCGGCTTGCATTTCAGAATTGTCTGCACTAACGCGGCTCTCACTGTGTCCAGCCAAGCCCAGCAGACTGTGTCATCTCTGCCCTTCAATCTCCCTGCAAACACTAGCTCTGCTCAGAGAGACAGAGAAACACATGGGCAAAGAGCTAGAGTCCCCATTCTGTCACATGTTGGGGTGGGACAGGCCCGAGCCCAGGGCTCCCCTCCCGATATCCTCATGGGCTTACTTGTTCTCTCACAGAAATTAATACTCTGGGTGAGGTTACTGAGATGACAGTCACAACTCTGGAGAGATCCAGTTGTGTGAAGGGAGCATGTCTGGGGGTCAAGGCAGGAAGGAGGAAACCAGTAATAGCCATCCTCGCAGGAACACTGTAGGACCCCATTCTGGTTGCTGCAATCTGCACAAAAAAAAACAGAGCTTGGTTTCACAAGGCCCTGTTAATAAATTGACTAGTGCTGAGTTCTGATCCTGGGCTCTGACTTAGAATGTAAACCAAGGATTTCTCATCAAAAGCTGGAAGGATGGAGCCCTGATGCTGCTGCTGCTGCTGCTGCTGCTGACCTGGGCACCACACTTTGAGAACCCTTGCTTTTGACAAATCATTTAACTTCCCTAGTCATTGGTGCTGTTTGCCAGGTATCACATGCTTTGTTCCAGGATTGCATAACCTGGCCTCTGATGTTGCCTGGGGCCATGAAACCAGTTCTGACCAGTAAATTGTGAGCAGAATTAGTGTGTGTCACTCTTGAATTAGAAAATTCAACTGCCAGTGCCAAGCCTTCCAGCGCTCCTTTTCTTTCCCCTTTGTCTCTAAATGGGTATAACTGAGATAGCGTCTGGTTCATCAGCCTGGGTCCCCAAGTGACCACCACAAACTCAGCCCTCTGCAACCTGCAATGGACATGTAGCACGAAGAAGAAACAAACCATTTATTCTTGTAAGCTGAAGATGTTGCCAAGACTAGTGTTTTCATAGCATAATCTAACCTATGCCAACTGATATACCCCCCTTCCCCCTTTCCACTCTCAGTCCCCAGAAGGCTGACTTACACGTGGTTGCCTTTGCTCTGATAATCTTCATTGGCCCATGCAGCCACAATGATGGAGCCTTCAGAAGCTTCAAAAAATTCCTCAACTTTTTTTTCTCCTCGGAATCTCTGTAAGCCACCTGAAGCAGGAGCTCATACTCCTGCACTGGGCCTAAAGAGAGAAGACAATCAGAAGCCTCCTTTCTCAGTCTAGCAGGGAAACACTGCAGAGAAAGGGACCACAGGGCAATCATCAGATTCAGCCTGGACATCATGGATGATACCACACTCCTTGTCACTGACTTCTGCTCATCCAGACATTAACTAAAAATAAGCATCCAAGACAAGCGTATGCAGACAGCCCCACATGTGTCTGACACACGTCCACCCTCTCGCTTCTGCCAAGGCCAGCTGCTCGCACGCTCTCTGGCCCACCACTGCATCCCCCTCTTGACTTGACACACTTCTTCAGGACACATCCAGAGTAAAGTTTCAGGTATCAAGACTGAAGGGAGAAGAGATAACAAAATCCTAGTCACTCTTCTCTTCACCTCTCCCTGCCTTCTGGTCTCCTTGAAGAATTTTCCATATAAAATCCACATTCTCCCACTTCCCTCTCCAAAGAGCCTTTCTTCCACCTGTAAAAATGTTGTGTTAATCAGCTGAGTTTGAATATTACATCAAATGCAAAAGTAAAACAAACCAAACCTTTCTTGAGCCCTTACATAACCTCATCTGTACCTTATCATTTTTTAGGGTTTTTTAAAAATCATTAAAAAAACTGTTCAATTACAGTTGACATTTAATACTATATTAGTTTCAGGTATACAGCGTGCTAGTTGGACATTGGTACAACTTAAATAGTGATCCTCCCAATAAGTCTTGCACCCATCTGACATCATATATCGTTATTACATTATTTTTTTCAAATTTTTTTAGCCTCACCCTAGGACATGCTTATTGACTGTGGTGGGGGGTAGGGGGAGGGAGAGCAAAACACTTGTGTGAGAGAAAAACATGGATTGGTGGCCTCTCTCTCACACACGCCTTGACTGGGAACTGAATCCATAACATAGGTATTGGTCCTGACTGGGAATCAAACCTGCGACCTTTTGGTTTGTGGAACAACACTCCAACAAACCGAGGCACACCAGCCAGGAATAGTTATTACATTATTGACTATATTCCCTAAGCTGTGCTTTACACCCTCATGACTGTTTTGTAATCGCCAATTTGTACTTCACCTCTTCACCTTTTTCACCCAGTCCTTCAACTCCCCTCCCATCAGGCAACTATCTGTTTGTTCTCTCTATCTATAAGTCTGTTTTTATTTTGTTGGTTTGTTTATTTTGTTTTTTAGATTTCACACACAAATGAAATCATATGGTATTTGTCTTCCTCTGTCTGACTTGATTCACTCATCCTAATACTCTCTAGGTCCCCCTTATTTCTGAGCAGCACCTTTTGTTCCCCTAAGGAGAGGCCAGTAAGTATTTTGGGCTGGGAGAAAAGACGAGCCCGATGAGCCTCCTGCCCCAAATTCACTGAGGCACGTTCACATGAAATTCCATGGGATCTCAAGGTCCACTGAAGCTCATCTACAAACCCCAGATTAAGAATGTGAAGGACCTTAGGGAAAAAAGAGGCAAAAAGAGAACATCCGTTTATCCTGTTCTCATTTTATTGCCATTTGCAGCAAAATTTCTTAGAAATCTAATAGATTTCTCAGGACACCACCATGCTTTTGCAGGGACAGAGGACATGGGGAGCTTTTATGAGACTGTCCCATTTCTTAGAGGCCTTGTGGGGCTAGGCAGAAGGGAGATTTATGTGAAGAAGAGCAGCTGAATCAATCCCTAAGCTTCTCCTAAGGCAATCAAGAGGGTGACTGGAAGCGAGCTGAGGTTAAGGCACATTCCAGGACTTTTACAAGAAAGCCCCATCTGCTGTATCTCCCACTATCTCACACCATAGACCCTCAGCCCCATCACTTCTTGTCCCCATCCCCTTACAGACTGGAACCTCTGCCCAGGCCTTGTGAGTCACCCCACACAGGTAAGAAGTGGGCAATGAGGGAAAGGTTGACTCTGGCCACACTGTCAGGGGCTAATTGCAGTGGTTCGGGAGTCAGATTGACTGACTGGGTCTGAATCAGGTCTCCTGCCTCTTAGCTCTATACCTTAATTTCACTAGCTGTAAAATAAATTACCCCTGTACCTAATGCAGAGGGTCAGTGTGAGGATTTAATTCAACTACTGCATTTAAAATGATGCTTGGGACAAGTAACAAGTCAATAAATACTAGCTGTATTATTGCTATCAGGGAAAATGCATTCATGGCATTCCAAATTAAACTTTTATTTCATTTTCCTGAAGAATTGTGCATGGGGCTAACTTCTACGACACTATCAGTACTTCATTGTTTGGCATATTCACCAAAGAAAGGCTTGTGAACTGACACAGGAACTTAACAACCATCTGTGTGCATCACTGTTTCCATGAGAAAACATGTTCAGTGACTGAAACATCAGACCCACAAATTAAATGTCAGGCCACAGTCTGAAGGCTGTGCCCATTAATTACATTGTTGGGATCAAGATAAGGAAGGAAAGGAAGAATATGGAGCAGCTACTTGACATGTATGGTGCAGGATACTATGCCTTTATTATGTTGTTTAATCATCACAAGTATTTTGCTAGTAGAGATTATAGTTATTCTCATTTTACAGATTTGGGGTGTTTAATGAAGTGCCAAAAATCGTACAATGATTCAGAAGCACTACTGGGGTTTGAACCCCATTCTCATGACACCATTGTCTCACCTGGATGCTTTTTCTTATTCACTATGTGTTCTCTTTTTGTTCTGATGCCATCATTTCTCTGTTAAAAAGAAAAAAAGTATAATTTTAGCAGGGCTTTGTAATGCCTCATTGGATTTCCCAGATAAATTGAAATCATGCATCTAAAATCCAAGTCAAGGATGGTGAGGAGGTGGCAAGAGAAGGTCACACTAAGGCAAATTTTGAACACAAACCTGAAGGAGGTAGGGAAATGAGGATCCCAAGAAAAATAATTTTCTAGGCCAAGGGGACAGCACACGCTAAGGCCCTGGGATAAGAACATGCCCAGCATGTGAAGACAGAGAGAGGAGGCCAGAGTAGCTAAGTGAAGTGGGTGAGGGGAGAGGGCAGGAAGTAAGGTCAGAGAATACCTCTGGGGAAGCAGGTTGTATAGATCTTTCTAGGCTGTGGCAAAGACTTCGCTTTTCGGAACCCACTGGAGAGTACTGAACAGAGGAAAGATGTGTCCTACTTTATTTTTCATTTTTTATTTTTTCAAGATGTGTTAAAAATTTATTTCTTTTTAGAGAGAGTTGTAAGGAAGGGAGAAAGAAAGGAAGAGAAATATCGATGTGTTGCCTCTCACACACCACCCAGCGGGGGACCTGGCCCGCAACCCAGCATGTGCCCTGACAGGGAATCAAACCCGCGATCTTGGAGTTTGTGGGATGACACCCAACCCACTGAGCCACACCAGTCAGGCTCTACTTTATTTTGTAGAAGGCTCAATCTTGCAGCCGTATTGGGAATAGACAAGCACAAAAACAGTGAGAGCATTATTTCAGGAGTTATTGAAATAATATCAGGGAAAGATAATGAAAGTGTAGATCAAAGTAGTAGCCATGGAGTGGTGAGAAGCATTTAAATTCCGGGTATATTTTAAAGATAAAACTAAAACAAACAAATAAACAAAAAAGAGCCAATGGCTTAGCCACGGATTATGAGGAATCAAGCATAAAAATAAATGCTGTGCTTAAGCAGTTGGAGAGATGGTGATATCACTTGCAGAGACAGAAAAGGAGTAGCAGCTTTGGTGAGAAGAAAAATCAAGAGTTTAATTTGAGACATACTAAGTTGAGGGGCTTATTGGGCACTCCACTGGAGATACCAGATAGGTAATATATATGTGAATGTGGAGTTCAAGGGAGAGGTCTGAGATGAAAATATAAATTTGAGAGTCATCAGCGTATTGAGAACATTAAAACTGTGACCCTATATAAAAGCATCAAGAAAGTATGTATAGACAGGGATGAGACAGTCCAAGGATTACTAATGCCAATTTATATGTTTGTTTTCCATCAAAGAGGCCATAGGAGTGAAAGTGTTGAGCTAGAAGAGCTTTCCAAGGTGGTTTAGTCCAAGATCCTTATTTTGCAATCAGGTCATCTAAGCTCCAAGGCCACACAGCTAACGTTGCTAATATTGAAACAAGAACCCAGAACTTCTGATTCCATGTCTATTACATATGTAGTTTCAGTGTCCTAGAAAGTGACAGATTCTAGAAGTGCCAGAGGAGAGAGGAGCGGTGGTAGGCAGGGAAAACAGGGCATAAGCCAACTCACCCCCAGGAAACCATCACCACACTCGGGGACTGAGAAGAAAGAGATGAGCCACAGCACTTGAACTCTCATCTTCAGCAGGTCCCTCTCCTGTTCCTGCACTGGACACAAACAGCTGGGTTCACAGTCCGTGACTCGACAAATGGGGTACCATGCAAGGCTGAGGCACAAAAACAAGTAATTCAGACTAAAACTTTTAAATGCACACAATGGTAGTGCCTGACTGAGCTGATCACAAGTCCTGTTTAATTACTTTTCCACATTATGTATCTAGTTTGAGACACTGTGATGTCCACTCCTGTTGAAAAGCAGTAAATTTCTGTCTTTACAAACTTACTAGAAAATTTGTCAAGTGCTCTCCTCTAGGTGATCAAATTTAACTAAACATAGATTTTTTTTTTCTGGGCCTATTTGTATTTTTTTTTCAAAACAGTGATTTTGCCATTTATTGCAAAGTAATACATATTTACTGTAAAAAAGAATAATAGAAAATAGAGATAAACCAAAATAAGACAATGAAACTCAATTCATAATTCTAAAACTCATAAAAATTACTATTTATGTGTGTTGCATATTTACAAATCTGAGATGTTTATAAATATTATTTATAATAATTTTTATCTTTCAATTACAGTTTGCATTCAATGCATTTTTTTGTACTAGTTTCAGGTGTACAGCACAGTGGATAGACATTCATATAGGTTACACTATTTTAAAACCATGACTTGCTTAACTATGCAACTAAGTGTATTTAATATCTAGCCTTTTATATTTTACCGAGGCTTCCTTTTCATCTCAGTTTAAAATAAGAAAAAGAAAAACACATTAAGATAACCAGGGACCCTCAGCACCATTAATATAAGGATAGAATCTGAGTGTTTAAGCATAAAAATCATCATGAACCAATCCAGCAAGTTTACCTCTTTATAGTTAATTTATTTTGCAAAAAAAAAAAAAAACTCCTCAAGTTTATAGTTATTTCAGAATAATTTAGGCAAAACTCAGCACATAGTCATGGCTGCAAAATTAGTCACTGATATCTGAGTTATTTTGTGTGAACGGAAAAAATCCTGTTGTGTCCAATAGTAACGACTAGGCACATGTGGCAATCTAAATATTAAATTTAATTATAAGAAAGTGAAATTAAAAATTCAATTTCTTAATCTCCCTAGCCACGTTTCAAATAGCCACATGAGGCTACTGGTTACCATGTCAGTCAGCAGAGACACAAAACTCTTCCATTCCTACCAAAAGTTTTATTAGGCATGGACAATTCATCAGCCTTAAAAAAATTAGGAAGTCCTGTCCAGTACTACAACACGGGCGAACCTTGAGGACATTGTTTTAAGTGAAATAAGCCAGTCACAAAAAGACAAATAGTGTATGATTGCACTTGTACAAAGTATCTAAAAAGGTCAAACTACTAGAAACAAAGTATTGCAGAATGTTGGTTGCCAGGGCTGGAGGAGAGATAGTGGGGAGTTGTGATTCAGTGAGTATGAGTTTCTTTTTTGCCAGACGAAAAAGTTCTAGAAATCTGTTGCACAACAATGTGAATATTCTTAACGCCACTGAACTTACACAATTAAAAATGGTTAAGATGGTATATTTTATATTATGTGAGTTTTTTAGCATGACTTTTTACAAAAGGGGGTTTGGACATGAAGAATCATTTCTCTACAGCCTCTTAATGTTCCTTACACATCTCCATAGGAAAGGTTGAAAAACTGTCATTGCCAAACTCAACAAACCACCATGAGAACAAATGGCTTTGATTGATAGTATGAAATGCGGATGGGACCCTCCCTTCCAGCCCTCATCCTGCTTCCTGGGAGTGCTTTAAACTTCACACAAAGCCTGCCATCCCCAACAATGCTGCCCCTCACCTCACTTTCTGATCTACAAGAAAGGAGAAAAACATTAGAGACCAGGTTTTGGCTTACAGAGACACGGCCTACATGTCAGCAGAGACCTTTTCTGGGGCTTTCTAGGGACACATGGAAAATAAGCAATGGGACGCTTACCACTGGCATTTGCCTTCTTCCCTAAGGCCAACAACCCACTCAGGCCCCACCTCCCTGTTTGTCAAGATTCCTCCTGAGTCTATTGCTCTAACTTTTGGGGGGAAGCAGCCTTTGCACCAGATCTCATTCTCCTGGATCTGCCTTCCCAAAACTTAACAGTCCTGTGTCCTGTTCCCTCTGAACTATGCTTCTTGCTTTCCAAAAGTAATGGCTATTGGTCTCTAGAGCAGGATCTTTCCAACATTTTTGACCAGGCCCCATAGAAAGAAATATATATTTATACACACACACAACAAAACATGTACATATGTGTACACACATACACATAATACATGTTTATATATGTATGTGTATATCTATATACATATCATAAAATTTGTGTATATATACATAAAATAATTTATGAAACAGAACTTAATTCTTTATCTCAGACACGCCCTTGTATATTTTCTGTCTTGTTTTGTTTTGTTTGTCTTTTGGTAGGTTATCACACCCAACTAACTTGATTTCCCAATACCTTCTTGGAGCGCAGCCACATTGCAGAGGGAGCTTGTGCTCCTCCCAGCCCCTTGCCCATGTTTCTTGCACTTTCAGGTAAAAATTTTAATGTAAATTTCTGGGCCACGGTCTTGGTGCTGGAGCTTCCAAAGAGAGTAAAACAGTCTCAGTGCATGTAGGTGTGATCTGTTCTCTCTCTGTGCCAGGGCCTGCTTCCAAGTGGGATGCCAGCCCTCCTATGGCTCGTCCCCTTGGTCTCTTGCTCTCTGAAAAATCTCCTACATGCAGTCCACGCCTGAGGCTGCAACCCCAACTCAAAGAGGCCTGCTGACAGCTCTGGGCATCGTGAGGAAACTCATACTCTCAGCTTCTTAGGCCCTCTTCCTCCCATACTGGCGGTGGCGGGGAGAGGGGGGGGGCAGTGTTGTTCTGGGCTGTCTCTTTGAACTGGGTAGAAATGGGAAACTTTAATTTATAACCAGGGTTTCAGATCAGTGATCCCCAGGCACTGTTCTGTAGGTCTATCATGAATAGCTAAGCTATTTCATGATATATCCATATTTGTGTGTGTGTGCGTGCGTGTGTGTGTGCGTGCGTGTGTGCGTGCACGCGCGCACGCGCGCGCGCGCAAGTATATATTTATTTCTATGGGGCCTGGTCAAAACTATTTGAAAAATACTGCCCTAGAGACAAATAGCCATCACTTTTGGAAAGCAGAAAGCACACACCCAGAGGAGGAGGAGGTGGGGGAAGAGGAGCTAAAAAGAAGCCATTTAAGAGCTCAGTAGAAAATACAGATGCCCCCTTCCCACCCTAAACATACTAAACCTTAGACAGCCCAGACCCAGCCTTATTTATTCATCATTAAAGCTACCCAGGTGATGCTGACCTCCGGGTAGCTTTGAGAGCTGTGATTATAGATGGGTTCTTGGACAGGAAAAAAAGAGTTCTATACCTAAATTGACCCCCTGATTTGAATTCCCATTTGGAGTTGGGGACCCAAGCCTGAACTAATCGAAACCTTTTCTTCACTTCCTTGATGCATATAGATCCCTCTGGGATAGAGTTGGAAGACTGATTTTCAGATATATAACGAATAATTTTTTAGCGTTACACTAGTCATCATCCAGAATTATGCATTTTTCTAAAATTCATATAAAGTACTCAGGACAATACCTGATAGCTATGCATATTAGGATTACTAGCATTTGAACCTCCCCACAAGTTTTTATAGTTATTTGTTAGATTGTATCAGTATTTGGATTCAATTCTGAGTCAAATTAACTTATCAAATAAAAGCTGCTTCTGGGTTGTTGCAAACTCCATATTTTCAGCGTTTCCCTTTCAAGCTGAAAAGCTCTTAATTTTTTAAAAAATTATCAGAATCTGTGTGTCCTTGCCACGGATGAGGAGCTGTTGTTGTCATCAGAGTAAGCGTGTTTACATCACACCTCGCCCCGAGGCAGCGCCGGCCAGAGACGGCTGACCTGCAGCTGTGTTGGCACTGGCAGCTGAGGAGGCTCAGCCGGGCAGGACCAGCCCCCCGGCCCACTTCCTTCCATTCATTCAAGTAAATTCACTCCTGATAATCCCTGTCCTTCAGTTTAGAGAGAACAATCATTAGAATTTGCTATTAAGCCCCTGGAGATGGCTGACATTGTGTCCCCATTCTTCCAGTTATGAATTTATAGGCTCCAAATATCACTTATTTATGTCAACAGTGGTCTCCTTATCAACAGTGGTGCTTAGTTGGAACTGCTCACACCTACGCTTTTCAGAGTTTTTAGCAACAATCTAATCTTAGGCACAGTTGAACGCTTGGGTTACTTCCTTGGCATCATTATTTATGGGATCATTTTTCTTCCTCTATAAATAGGAGAATTTCCAGTAGAGTTGTCTCCCTCCTCTCTGTCTTGGACTCACATGTGTATATGTGCATCACACACACACACACACACACACACACACGGAAGGGGCAGGTTTCCAGCTAGCATCTGAAAGAAATAATGGCTCAAATAGAACTGATGGTTTTAGAGGCAGATGGCCTATAAAACCTTGGTTTTATTTTACCTGTTATAAGTTTTTGGTAACCTTTGCATTGAGATCTGTCTTTGTATAGAAATTCTTGGGCCATCACCTTTGAGAAGAGTTTTTTACGTAGGCAGACACAGTAGAGAAGACAGATGGAAAGCAGAAAAGATAATTTTATATCTGAAAACTTTTTTGGAAGTTTGGTAAATTGTATGAGCTAGACAAACTTCTTATGGAAGGACTATAATTGAAAGCTATTTATAATCTCAGTGAGTATGTGTATAAACATTTGTGTACAGTAAAATTTTAAATATATATTTTGTGTTTTAGCATATTTTTAGTATGTTTATGTAGTATTAACATAGCAGAAAGAGACCAAGATAAATTAGACCCTAACCCCAAGTCTGTCTGTCCTCTATGTGTTAGAGCTTATGGAAGTTAAAAATAAAAGACTCACTGGACACAGCTTCTTCCTCTATAAAATAAGGAGAGCTCAATCAAATCCATTCACTTTCAGATTCTATTATTATATGC